AAAATAAAAAAATGTAAAAATGTTTTTATTTGCAGGTCTTATTTTTTAAATTAAAAAGGATTAAAATATTTAGTTTTTTAATTTTTAAAAAAGGCATTCAAAAATCCCTCTCCAACGTCGACTTTTTAAAATTTAAAAATATATTTTTGTAAAAGTAATTTTAAAGTAAAAATGGTTTATGAGATTAATAGAATTTTTGTAGAGGTAAAATGCAAATGTGATTTTAACCAATTTAAAATAACAAATTTTCGCCTCTTATGTTTCATGGCACAGTTCCTTATCTCCTCACTTATTTGGGGGACCCCAGATCTTTATGAATATCACTATTGCGCACAGGAAAGACCCACCATATTACCACGGAGTACCCACTATATTACGAAGGACCTTGTTTTGGAAAGTTTGTCTTTGTTTGATGTGGGCTTGCTTGACACAGCCCCATAGCTGCAAGCTCTATGTCCATACAGGCATCATTGGGTTATATATCAACGCCTTATTGTATGTTGGCAATTCATACCCATTGACTTGGAGCCAATAGTTTCCTCTCTATTTCTTTTCTAATTCTATTGTTTTTTACATGTTCTTTCCACCTGACCTAAATTTTTATTTGAAAAATTCACATGTACAGCTTTATTTTCTATTAGCCTTATTTGCCAAGCAACAGTATCAATTATAAAAGTATTAAGTTTAAATAATAAACCGTCGTGCCAGACTGTATCGAACGCCTGGGCAACATCCAGAAATATTGTCGAACATATTTGCCTTTCCTCTCTAACGCCTTTTACACAATATTTGTTATTCTTTGTGCTTGATCAATTGTGGCATGCCTTGTTCTAAAACCAAACTGATGGTTTGGAATCAATCTATTATTTTCTGTTATATGCATCAGCCTTCTTAACAACAATTTTTCAAAAAGTTTTGATATCATTAGTAGTAGAGAAATCGGTCTATATGACTTTGCTTCATTCAAGGGTAATAACTTCCTCTACTTTCCAAGAACGAGGAAAATACCTCAAATTAACTGTTGCATTTATCAATTTTTGCAAAAATGTCATAGCCTTTCTTGGCAACTCTCTTAATATCTCAACAGTAATGCGATCAAAGCCCGGGATCTTATTCAGTTAAAGCGATTTTATCGCTTGGCAAATTTCCTTTTCATTAAATAAAGCCATAGTACTTTCATTCATATCAAAATCTTCTACAGAAGAAATACTAGCATTCAGCTCATTTGGTTGAAAAATTTCTTCCAAAGTGATCAGCAAATATTTCAGCTTTATCCCTGTTGTTTTTTGCCCATAATCCATCTGCTTTTTTTCATCAATAAAAAACACAATGATAAAAGAAACTGGTTCATGTTTACTGAATATTATACATTAGCTCTATGGTTCTCCCAGGAGGGATGTAGGAAATAAAAGTTATTAAAATTAAATTAATCTTGAATATTAATAATTATGGGTCGGAAGATTATTCACGTTTTATTTATTTCAAGCAAATGTAAGTATAAGTATTCGAGAGTATTACATACTTAAGTATTTTAAAATACACTAAAGATAACTTTGGCTGTAACTCAGTTTATTCTTAATTGCTATTAATTATTTCGGAGAAAAGTGATGTGTTTTAAGTAATTAAGTTTTTACTTCTATTTATTTGCGTCACGGTACTGTCAATTCTGATTGCATTTGATTCGAGGATTAGTTTTTTTCTTCGGGATATTTTTCGGGAACTTCACAATTTTTAAATTCAACATTCACGCAAATGTATTTTTTTAATATAAAATTTAATATATTTGAAATATTTTTGTATTTAAGTAAATTAATTCTTATAAAACTCGAAATATTATGAATTTGTTCCTTATTTAGCAAAATAATAAAAATAAAAGGATACTACCTTAAAAAAGGATAAGAAACCCATTTTTTTGTGTTTTTTATAAAAGTAAAAATTTCTTTCTCTTATTTCATTTTTCTTTTTAAATAAAGTTGGAATAAATGTCAAGCAGTGGTTTTATTACTCTGACATTTTCATTGGATCGATTATTGGTGATGAAAAAACCCACTGAACCAGGAAAAATTGTTCAATAACATATTTTTGTTTCATTTTTATTTGGCTCATATAATTTTATTTTATTTTATACTTTTTTTCTTTTATTTTGAAATTACAGCTTAATATAAAAGGTTTAAAGAGAGTCGAAGGTATGGAGAGAAAATGAGGTTATATAATCTAAATTATGTTTAAAGTATTAAAATAAATGGAAACAATTTGCTATTAATTCTTTGATGTTGAAGTTTATTGCCGCCTTTATTATTTCTTATTGAGTTAAAAAAATGGCAAAAATACTACATACATATGTACATACATCTGTACTCATACGTATATATGTATGAGTTTCTTTAAAATTTTTCTAAGAATATTTTGTATATACTTATATACATTCGTATACGTATATTTTCGTAAGGTAGGTTAAACTCCAGACTGTATTGGACGCTGTTGGTGAGGAAGTACAAAGTTAAGGCGAACATTTTTATAGATTATGCTTGGATAGATCTTTGCCATTTATAGGTTATAGATTTGTTATACTTAATATTATTATTCCAAATCACTGTTAGTCAGCTCAAAATTGGGAAATGAATTACTTTATGAAAAAGTTAGTATATAGTTTAAAGATTACCATTTAAAGTAAATTCCAAAAATTCATCAGTACCAAAATGAGCGGGAACTAAGAAAAATTATTGCAGTTTAATACTATATGTGACAACACAATTTGTCCCATTTGCTCCAGAAAATAAATAACTTATGAATTTTTAGGTTTTCTTCTTGTTCAACAGCAAAAATGAAGCAGTTTTTTACCTAATATTGCCAGAACCTTCACAAAAATGACTAAATAATGTTGAAATAGCAGTTTTTTTTGGCGCACAAAAATGTCAATTAATTTTGATATAAAAATGTTATAAAAATGTGAACCGATGTAACACTTATTCTTCCGAAAGATTTAATAACTGTCACTAGTGCTAGTGCAATTGTTAGTGCTAGAAAATACTAAAGGGCGATAAATAGTGCGTATTGAAATACTTTCGGGAGGTCCGAAGTGCTAGTGCAATATTTTCGGAATAACATTTTTAAGTCGTCCTATGAGTTGTTCTTAATTAAAGCTGATCTGCTGTGTCATGTTAATAATTGACACTTAATAACAGTTATTCCATTTTTTAAATAAGTGTTTCAAACTTTTCAAGTTTATTAAATTTATTTTGAAATCCAATCTGCTAATGGATTGGTTACTAAAAACAAAGAAACATAAATTTCAAATTACTACGATAGTAAAAAAAAAATTTATATTGAGTTTGAGTTGATAAAAAGTTTAAAATTCACTCGATAATTAATTCTTGGTTTAATTACATTTCATTTAAAAGAAAAAAATATCTCCTCTACCCTTCCATATAAAAAACTTGGAACTTTTATTATGGGAAAATTATTTTCCTCATTTTTCTTTGGAAAGAAGTAGACACTCTTTATCTTTTTATATAAAAATCCCATATTTTATATTTTTGTTAGTGTGAAAATTCAATTTTTAAAAGTTTGATGGTTTCAATAAAAAAGGATTAACAAATATAATGAATGGGATTTTCATGGAAAAGTTTAATTTAAAGATTAGTTCAAGAAGAAAAGATAGATTGTGTTAAAGTATAAGAAAAAGTTAGTTAACCTAACTTTTGTTTATAACTTTATTATGTTGGTTGTTTTAATATTAAAACGGCCACCTAAGTGTATATGTACTTATGTTTATAGTTATATTTAATACGATTTGCAAATATTTTTGCTTTTATTGTTTTACGTTCAAAGGGGAATAGGGTGTGTTGCAGGTTTGATATTTTTGTTTTTTCAATTTTGTGGTTTCAACAGATGCCCCAATGAATGCCTAAAGCAGAAGTGTGCCTGTTTATGATTTAAATATCAATTTTTATATAAGGATTTTGTATGAGGTGAATTGGATACCGAGTTTTTCAACATCTTCATAAACTCTTACAACTGCTTGACTATTGAATTTAAAGTCATCCAACGTTCATCACTTATAGTCGAATTTATATGAAAGAGTTTAATAATTTTAATAATCGATGCAATAAAATTTTAATTAAAAATTTACAACTTGTACTGAAAATAAACGTTAAACCGATTTTTAATTCTATTATTGATGTTTTTTAATCTTATTCTATTTACATATATACATACTTATATACATTAAAATTTTTCTACTTCTTTCGCATTATACTTAGTTCAGAAAATTGGTTCCATATCAAGAATTGTTATCTAAAAAGAATTTTTGTTCTATACTTTCAAAAGAAATTGAATCATATTGCAACTTGTGACTAACTAGATTGTTATTGTACAACCTGGTAAATAGTATGCTATAATCTTGTAAACCTATGCCATACGTGCACTATTTTGTTGTTTAGATGAATAAAATTTTCAATCCCTTTTACAAATATGTAAGTATGTATTTTCAAAGGATATTCTAATGTAATACACTTAGTCCATACCAAATAGATATGAAACACTTTTCATGATGTGGTAATCTTGTTTTGCGGTTTATTTCTTTTTGAGTTTTAAATGACGTTTTTTTAGTTTTCAATAAAATTTTGTTTTCACTTATCGATTAATGAAGCAATGCGAATTTACAGTTTCTACAATGTTTGACCACAATTAGAATGGTAATTGAAAAAATTTTAGGAAAGATTTAAACGGAAAAATTTAACCAGATTTTCAAAGATTTCTTACGTTTACTGAAGTTAAAATGAATAATTGTACACGATTTCCATTCAAGTTTTTGGTCTTCACAAAACATTTGTACTTACTGAAATACAAATTTTAATTAGGGGATGTTATTTCCGAATTACCAAATCTTTTCGATTTACTTAACATTTAACATTTCGAATAACGTTTACTCTGTTAATAAAATTTTTAAATAATTTTTTATTAAGTATTAACAATTTTATATTTTCTTGTCTTTTCAGATTGAATCTCCAACTTGAAATCAATATTAATTTAATGAAAATAATTTCTCCCCTGTAAAGGCGTCTATCATCTTTTCATATCTTTGAAGTCATATTCCATTAAAAATTTGAAAAAGACAATACAAATATGGATGTCATTAGGACGAAAATGAGCTTTTTAAGCATCATAATTTTATTATTATTAATTAGGTTTAAATATACCAGATGTGAAGTTTTTACGGCGTTAGCAGAAATGGAGGAACTATTAGAGACTGAATCTGCATTAATAACAAATTTAGAAAGTTATATAGATGTTCAACAGCGAAAAATAGATTATCTTAAAATGTAAGTACTTGTTAAATATATAATTTGATTGTCGTTAAGCAGCTTGATTAAAAAATGTTAAATTTAACTATAAGTGCGGATATAGGATTACCTACATATATATATTTAAAATGACATTTTATAGATAATTTTCTTAAAGGCGTCTCTAAAGCGTCCTAATTTAAAACTAACAACATGTGATGTGTTATAGGAATAGGCGACAAGGATTTTCTCCGTTTGTTCAACGATTTCTCTAGAAAAAATGTACCGAAAAAACAAAAACAATTGATCTTTATATAAGTATATTTTTACAAGCATACTAGTTTAAAAAAAGTTAGAGTTTCAAAGATTGATACTTACCATAATTATTTTTGAAAACCGTTGAATGAAGGCGTATGTGTGAAAATTTGAAATCCTTACATAATAACCTGAAATTATAACGAGGAGGAAGGCTAATTACTATGCATATTACGTCGCTTTGATTTGTGTTCAGTTTCTATTTTGCAAAATAATTTTTTTTTATTCTAAAGATAAATATCAACACAGTACATAATATTCAACACAAAGTTATTTTTGGTATACTTATGAAGAATATCTAATAAATTTCGTAAAACATTTTCATTGTGAACCATTTCAAAATTATCATTAATTTATTATGTTATGCTAATATTTTATACGAATTGTGTTAATTTGAAACATCAATAACATCAAAATTTTCTCTGTTCTTATTTTAATACAAAAAGATCCCGTGATGAACGTGACAAAATCTTTAACATTTTATTAAAATATTCTGATCAATGAAGATTTCATTTTCAATTTGCAATCACCATATTAATAAATCAATATGTTTTTCCAAGGTTTAAGTATGTAGATAAACTTGTAACTTTTAGAGAATATTAAATCATTAATAAATTGAATAAAACCGTTCCTAAAATTTCACGCTGTTCTTTTTCTTAATCCATTTAAATTATAATCAATTCTGCTCTTTCGATTCCAATACAATTTTTTTATTTAATTATTTTAACATTCGTTTTTAATGTATGTGCATATGAACATATGTGTGTACATACTTAAATAATTGAAGTATTTTATGGTGGTATGTAGACCTGGGATTAAAATGTAAAAGGCAATCTTCATTTATTTTATTAACCTTGAATGTTCTCTTTCAATCTAAATCATTACTATTCAATTAACACGATTTTGTAAGAAAATTTTCTAAGACATATTATGAATTTTATTATATTTTTCTTTTAATTAAATTGAAATTCATCAAACTAATTTTAATATCAAATGAAGTTGGCGTGTTTGCACTTATGAAAATACACAAACGATTACTCTTGTGATTCGAAATTAAATTGTGTACTTACTTGTGTACAAAGATATTTTTTCTGGTTTTCATTGTAAATTACTTACCCACGTATGAAAATGAAATACAAGATATTGGGAAAATACAACCGGTTATAAGAGATTACGATGAAAAAGATGAATATTACACGTAAATATTATAAATATGAAGAGTAAAAATTAATTTTATTAAAAATAAAAAGTAGTGTACTCTACAGTTAAATTAGGCAACTTGAAATATCAGAATAAATAAGATAATCTTCTTTTAAAAATGTGAAGTACAATTGTGAATTTGCTACAATATGGTTCACAATAAAGTTGCCTCACAATAAAGTTGTCATTAGTTGCTTATTAAGATTTTTAATAAACTTTTTTTATTTTGTTTTCAGAAAAATGCAGGAATACCAAAGAGAACATTCAGACGCATCTAGAGATATACAAGCATATTTATCGAATCCAATTAACGCATATCTTTTGACCAAACGTTTAACATTAGATTGGAAACAAGTAGAAAATTTAATGTCATACGATGTTGGCGCTTGTAAGTTATCTTTGAAATAATTTTGAAAGTAAAATTAAGTAATTGTGATTTAATTTTTGGTTTTTAAAGCATTTTTAGAAAATATAACAAACTACCGTCATATATTAAAATTTCCATCTGATGAAGATTTAACGGGTGCTGCAGTAGCGTTAATGAGATTACAAGACACATATAATTTAGAAACGGCGAGTATAGCAAGAGGTGAATTGAATGGTATTCAATATAGGTAAGTTTTGTGTTATTTTTTTATATTAATTTTGTTATTAAGAGAATATATTTCCCAACAATTTATATGTAGTACTGAAATGTCATCCGGTGACTGTTTTGAATTGGGAAGACAATCATACGTTAATGGTGATTTTTATCATACAATATTATGGATGAATGAAGCTATGTCAAGGCTAAATGTTGAACCAAAGAAAAATGAATCAGGTGGTGAATTTACAAAGGCTGATATTTTAGAATATTTGGCATTTTCTACATATAAACAAGGTAAGAATTTAATTTAGAGAAGGTATAAGAATGATCTGGATCAGAGAAATTCGAATATAAATAAATTCAGGCGTCTAGGGGTGGTTTTGGAAGGTTAAAAAAATTTAAAAATTTCTTTCCGACGAATATCCGTAATAGCTGTTAAACCCAGAGCAAAGTTATGAATAAATTTGTCATAATTTATTTATATAAAGCTAAAATTAAACTTTATCGTTATTGTATAAACGTTATGTCATACCTTAGCTTGACTTGCAGTATTTTTGAGAGCTCCATTTGGCAGATTTAACGCTGCATAATATGACTGACCTTTCTTCCGTTTTTGTACCTTTTTTAAATATCCAAAACGTTCCAAGAACTGATTTCCTTTCTACCCTTCTAACTAAAAATCAAAATTTTTAATATAATTTCCAAAAAATTAAGATATGCATATATATACGTAATGCTTATATCAACAAGTTCGTATCGGACAAAACAAGTTAGCTTGGCAGTATTTTATTTTTTAATTACCTGAAATTAAAAAAAATAGTTTGAATTTTACTATCTACTACTAGTTTCTACATTAATATTATTGTAAATTCTAATTGAAATCACATTGTTATATTCCCAAAAATAATTTTCTTATAATTAAAATAAAATTGAAATAACACGGAGAAAGAAGGAAAGATAATTTATCTTTCATTATTAAACGAAATTCTACTTAAATGCTGGCATTCAATTTGACTAAAATTTAATCATGATGAAATGGCAACAGATGAAAATGTGAAAAGTGTCTGTCTGTCAACCATTTTTTTCGAAGATATTAAAAATAACAAGTAGTGAAAAATGTTAATTGTCATTTTTCGGCACAAATGTATGAAAGTTTTAGGGTGATTTTAAAATTTTGTTTTAAATTTTAAGAAATTAACTTAATATTTTTAATATCAAACTTTAGCATTTTCCAATTTGAATTAATTGATAAATTATATGTATATAAAGAGTAAAATTAAAATGATTAAAAAAAAGGGTAACTTTTTCAAAAACTTTCAATTGATAAAATAAAATACAAAAAGCGTTTTTAATAAGATTAATGTTTCTGCTACTTTTATATATACTTTAAGGATCTCACTACTGATAATAGAACTCAAAATTTAAAGAGAGTATAAATAATATTCGGAATAAAATAAGTTTGTCACATTTTATTAAAATCTAAAACAATAAAATTGAAAGGGAAAGCTTAACTTTTTTTAATACAAATTATCCGAAAAATAATAATAATATTGTAGATGTTACCTATCCTTATTATTATGAGTTGATTTACAAGAATTTTAATTAATCCTGCAGATTTACAAGTACTTAATCATTCTAATGTTGGAGGAATACAAAATTCAACCGATTTTTTTCTTATATACACAAAGTTTGTGTTGTTAGAATTTTATATGTATGCATGTATGTATTTCAGTTTAAAATTTCAGTTTAAGTTGCCGATTTGTTCGATATTAATCCGAAGTTTTATGCGCTCCCATAAAGAAAATAATGAAAAATCAACAATTTTAATGATTTATTCGCTAACTACATTTAATAATATAATAACTTAAGCAATTCGGTTAAGTTATTATAAAATTATCAAGCTCTCAAATGTACGTTCATAATATAATATTCTCATAGTACATACCCATATGTCCTCTTTAATTTTGGCATACATATTGTTACTTTTTTTGTTGGTTTTGCCTTCAAATATAGAATCTCCTTCAATCATTATCATCATCATCAGCCACCATTCAAACAAACTAATTCCAATAAAAAATATACTTGCCAGCTATATGTACATACTTGGGTTAGGTATTGGACCAAAAGAGAACACTAAAAATAAAAAACATTATTTTACAAAAAAAAAATGTTATGAAAGCTTTGAAAGAAAAATATCTGATCGAAAGGACAATAAAGTATGCGTAGATGAAAATGTATACGTAAATATTAGTTTTTCTTTAAATTTTTCATTTTTGTTTTCTTTTTATTGTTGCCTTTGATTATCCTATTGTTTAGGGTAATGAGTATACTTTTCTCTTCGTATTTCTACTCTATAATAATTCAGTTCAACATCATAATAAAAATTTTGGTTACATTCTCATATGTTTTATTTTTTATTCTCCATAATAGATGGGCGGTATATCTATGTATGTATAAATTGAGCATATTTGTCTTTTATTATATGCAATTGTTTTTTCACTATATACAATGATACCAAATACATATATGTAAAATGTGGTCAGAAAATTAGAGCTGGAGATGTCAATAATGTAAAATAAATTTGTATATACTTTTGTGTGTATGTATATATACTTGATATAAATAAATTTTTTATCCTTGGATAAGGTAAAATAATTCAAACTTGTACGTATAATAACAATGCTACAAATTTTATAATTAAATTTTTTTTTGTAAAATTTGTTGATTTGCCTCTGATACTTAGAATTTTGTATTTGTATTTTTGGTCTAGGAAAACAAAATTTAATTTGCAATTATTAATTAATTTGAAATCTAAATTAACTATAGACATATCTAATTTGGTTTGCATAATATGTAAATATTCTTGTTCGAAAACTTTAATAATTCCTTTTGCAAGAGATAATTGGAATTGTATTCTATGCTAAATTACTATATAAATCTCCTATAATTTGTGATTTCCGGTCTTTATTCCAATAAGGTATCAATATAAATTCCACTTTTAGTTCAATAAAATCTAAAATTGTTAGTGACTTATCATGAATATTTTAATTTTAAGTGAAAAGATCGATTAATTCAAATGTCGTTTTGTATATTTGCTTAGAATTGTAATATTGCATTTTTCAGCTTGATCCCTAAAAATTTTTAATGGTGTGTTGAAGTCATTTAGATTCCCAAAATTTGTTCTTTTTTTGTAATAATTATGTCAAATATCTTTTATGTTACAAAAGTGATAATAGCAAAACTTCGTCATTATTTTACCTTTACTTTTATATTGAATACTTTAAAAAGCTTTTTGTATAACCTTTCTTTTTTGTATGCACATACTTCCACACCTTTATTAGATAAATGCATTGTCATAAAAAAAAGAAAGTACCTTAAATTTAATCGTAACGTAAGAGAATATTGTATAATACCCTTTTATCCTTTAATTTTTTATAAAATTATCGTACACACAGTTATGCACATTAAAATTCCAAGGATAACTTAATTAAATATAAATTTTTTTTACAGTTTATTTACTTTTTTTTCGTCATTCATATACAGTCGAACTCGCTTATATGCACACCCATTTTGGCAAACTTTTTTGTGCATATATCCATATTGTGCAATTATCCACTTCACGCTTAATTGCAAAAAAATTGCATATATGCGTTTGACGGCTATATGCAAAAAAATTGCAATTATGCGTTAAACCTTTTTTCGAAAATTGTTAGTCCCACATAAAAATTGTTTATTCATATTAATACACGTATGTATTATGTAAATCTATTTGTAAGTTTTATTAAAAAATAAAATTATAATGGTTAACAATTCATTAGTTTGAATATAAAACAAAATAAAAATTAAATTTGTTTGTAAAAAAAAGCATTTTAAGGAATTGCATAGTTAACATATAGATCTGTTTACGTTTTGTACGTGTTATAAAAAAAAAGTAAAAATGACTAACAGAATTGTACGTACAGAATTGCATTGGAACTACTTTAGACATACATGTACACATGTGCATGTATAGTATGTACATATCACAATTATTTTATAAAAATAATTCTTTAATTATTTTGGCTTAAACAATAATCAGATATTTTTTTCTGTTTCAATTCTTTGCCTTTTAAATATTCTGTAATAATAATATCTTCTAAATTTTCTATACCTTCGCATGTTACAATATTTTTACAGTTTTTAAAATAACTTTGAATGATTTTGAATGAGTTTACAACTTCTTTCATTGTATACATTTTGGTGGCAATAGAGTTTTTACAAATTTCTTCATTTTCAATAGGATCATCTACTTTTACAGCTTCAGGTTCCTCCAATAGTTCTTCAATTATTTCGGAATCTGTCATTTCACCATAACATTGAATATTTGAATCAAGCTCAACATACTCTTGGAACTCCTCTTCACTCATACATAAATTATCAGATTCTACCTCACAATTGTCTAAAGTAATATCGTCAACACTTTCATGGTCCTTTACAAATTCAGCTTTTCTAAAACAAGATTTAATAGTGTCAGATTGAACCAACCCCCATGCTCTCTTAATCATGTGAATTGCTTTTAAAATGTCAATTTCTTTATAAAAATCCTAATGCAAAAAGTTGCTTCCTTACCAAACACGTCTTGTACTGAGCTTTAAAAGATCTGATAATTCCTTGATCTAAAGGCTGTATAATTGAAGTAGTGTTGGCTGGTAAAAATTCTATTTTTATATTACTTAATTCAACATCAATTCTGTGACATGCCGCATTATCAACCAAAAGCAAAATATTTTTCTGTTGTTTCTTCATTTTATTATTTAGGTCAATCATAATTTGATTCCATATTTCAGAAACCATCCACGCTTTCTTTTGAGAAAAATAAGATAGGGGCACTTCTTTATTTCTAAAAGCACGTGGGTTTTTCGGAGTTCCAATCACAAAAGCGTATTTCTGAGTACCATCCATGTTGCATACAAATAAAATAGTGAGACGATTTTTTTGCATTTTGCCCCCAAAAATCTTTTCTCCTGCAAAAGCTAACGTACCTTGTGGAACAGCCTTATAAAATAACCCCGTTTCATCGGCGTTAAACACGCAATCGGGTGAATAATCTTTTAGCATTGTTTTAAGAGTTGTACTGGTCCACGTTCTTGCAGCGTCTAAGTTCGCATCATTTTTTTCGCCCATTATCCGATGAAAATTAATGTTTTCTCTATTTTTCCATCTATGAAGCCACCCATTATTTGGTTCAAAATTATTCACACCTAAAATTTCAGCAAATTTTTTTGCCTGCTCCAATAACATTGGACCGGTTATAT